ATTGCTCAAACACCTGGATAATCAACGTATACAACCACTATGTAAAACAACAATGTTTTTATTTATATGTGGTAAAACTTCAGTATATTATAGTATTCAATATGAAGATTAATTTTTACTTAATAAGCAGGTGTGATTGAGGTAGTAAAATTTTTAGTTCTTGTCATGTCACTTTATTCAATTATTTGCAATGATCTGCAGGTTTCCCTATACTTTTGTCCAGGAAGTAAGTGTACAACTTTAAATAATAAAAATTTTATTTTTGTAAAAGATCTTCAAGTCAATAAAATTTGATTTTTTGGAGGGTGTTCATTGTAACATTTAGCCAATGTAATCAAAGTCACAATGTGATAAATGAATGCCCATTATGCTTTTAAATTTATTATTTAAAAAGCATTTAATTATTAAGCAATTATTTAGTATATTTAATATAATTATTTACAAAGTAAATTCCCAGGTTACTAAATTTTGGTGTAATATGCACTGTATTTGTCATTGAAGCAATAGGAATTAAAGTATAATGCCCTGCATGCTTAAGAATAGCACATTTAGATGTCAAACATCATTTGGATATGCACAAGATCAAAATTTTTAACCCATGCAATTGTTAATTGACCAACCAAAATCATAAATTTGATAACATAAAAATAAATGTTGGTTTGATTCATTTGCCAACAATCACTTCACCAACAATTGTTTGTTAACAAATGGTATGAATTTAAGAAGTTGGAAGCAACCATGTGACAACCTTTGAAATAAATTAAATTGTACTACTCGAAAATGTATTTAAAAGGTTGGTTTTTGACTTGGTTGAAGCATAACTCTCTTCCTAATTCTTCTCTTGACCATATCTCTTGATATAATCAAAATAACCTTAATATAATGAATATTGACGAAATGATTGTAAATACAATCAATTTAAGATATAAGATTAAGACAAAACACGAACGATGTATGAAAAAATCAAATTTATTTAATAAAAACAAAATTTACAACCCAAAAAATTTTTTTTTGCATGTTCTATTGCTGATTCAACGTTACCCAGATTATCATCAACTGTATCTTCGATATTTTCTATAAACTCATTTTTGTTTAATATTTTCGTCATACTTTCTTTTAGTGTGTTGGCATTTTTTTTGATTTCGAATTGAGAGATTGGCACCGTTTAAATTACCATTGCCATATTTAGTTAAAATAACTATTATAAAATTTTCATAAATTTAATTTTTTAATCATTTACAATAAAAATCATTTCTTTTTAAATAAAATTTTGTTAACAATTTCAGAACTTAATCTAGTCCTCTTTGAAGTTATTTGATTACCAACATTGCCAAAAAGTCTTTCAGATGGCACAGACGTTGTAGGTATTGAAAGATATTTGTCTGCAATAATAATATTTCTGTTTCATTATATTTGGTACACGAAATTTAGGATCTATTTTCTTGATAAATCTTTTAAAACCTTCCTGTGTAGCATATTAAAAGGCAAAGAGTCTAATACAACCCATCAGGCCACAGCAAGATGTAATTCATTCATCTTGTGCTGTGTATGTTCTTTAGTTTTTTTAAACACACCTGCTAATTTTGGTTGTTTTAAATTGATTTTCTAAAAAAATTTGAATTATGATAAGTAAATACATTTATTAAACAAATAATGTAAAGTCTAAACATACTTCAGGGTTAACTAAAATTTGATGACAATGCTTTAAATGATAATTTAATGTTGAAGTTGATGTGATGTCAGAATTAGCATATTT